TTCCGCTTTTGACTCGAACCGCTCTTTCGGGTCCCATCCTTTTTGGATTTCACCGACGAGGGTGTTGCCTGGGACTCAGGTATTGTCATCGGAGAAGAAGCTTCGGGCGAAAATGTGTAAGCTTGATTCACTTTTTCGGTTTTTTGATGCTTCTTCTTATCATCTGGTGTGCTTATTACCGATTTCTGTTTATTCTCCAACACGACAGAATCTTCTACTTCATCCTTAACTTCGATATTTGTCACCTTTGCATCGTCGGTTCCTTTCTCAGAGAATGTAATTCCATTCTTTGAATCTGCAGCCTCAGTTTCCGAGTTCTTGTCAGGAATACCGAGAGCTGAAGATTCAGATTTTTCGATACCGTGATCAAATCCACCGTCAAGCTGATTTCGGGCGACATCTTCCATGGTGCTAAGCTCATTAGATGAAATCTTATCGGTTTTGGTTTCAGTTTCTCCCAGGACAACATCTTTGTAAGACATAGTCATAGGTTTGTTCGAAACTGAAGTCAGTTCCTCGAACTTTGACTGTGCAGCAATGAAAGAAGGATTGCTCACTTTTCGCTTCAGAGGATTTTTTGGCTGTTCACCTGTAGATTCCATCTCCTCCTGCAAAGAACGAGGTTTATCCACGCGAGAACCAATCTCCACGTCATGCACTTCTATCTCACTTGCTTCGTCACCAGACAGGTTCTTTTCGGTTTCAATCTCTAACTCTGAATGAACTCTTTCATCACGTGACAGTACTTCCTCGGGACAAGCTAAGGCACAGGGTTTCTCAGATTTCTGTTCTTCCGTACCCAAATCTGGTTTCGATGTCTTCTCGGGCGATGAAACAGACATCCATCTCTCCAGCCAGTTCCAAGCAGAACTCGGTTTTGCTGGGTCACATTTGATATTAATAGGTTTGGTCTTCGGCCCCGACCCCATTAGCTTCAACCACAAGATCATAAGAATAAAAGTTTAGCCTTTACGACGGTATAAATCGTACAAAATAACCAACTGAAAATGCACCAGAAACCGAGATTTAAACATACGTGACGAGCAAACATATTCTGGAGCAGCTTTTCGGCACTATCCTGAAACAAGAAATCGGTATAAAGATTAAAGATTCATATCATATATCTTGAATCCTCCTTAACTTCTACAAACAAGAAAACGTAAAAGAAACTGAATGATTCGATCTTCATAAATGCTTTACCGAAATTTCTGAAACATGGGCTCTATGGTTCATTGACCGACGTGCACGGACAAGTGCCTGCATTTTGACGATGGCCTGGACGCAACGTAGGGTTCCAATGGCCTGCCTCCTAACTAGGTGACCTCTCATTGCAGCTTGCAATATAATAGCTTTCTTATGCTTCAAAAAATTTCTCCGAGCCTGTTCAAAAGATTTAAAAAACGTTATAGATTTTCCGTTGGTAGATGCTCTAAGCTATGAGGAATCTTGAAAACATTAATATGCGAAAGGGCGAGAGAATAAAAGGAAACAGGACAACACCAGAAATCCCCGGATGACAGATTGGATGATTATGATCACAGATTCGTCGATCTTTTCACCGAATTCTTCATCGTTCTCTTTCTTGATTACCATGACATCACCGGTCTCGGGTTCTTGAGTGCAAACCTCCGAACCGATATCTTCCTCCATCACTGTGGCATCACCGGCATCTGTCCCTTTCGACTTTACGTGCAATTCAGTTTCCATTTCAGTTTCATTCACTTCATCCTCAGTCTCTGTCCCTCTTGTTTCCACAGGAACAGGCAACTCAGTTCTGTCATGAATCAGCAGTTCCTCCACTCTCGCAACCGACAACACAGGCTTGTCCTCTGTAGGTTGCACAGCTTGTGGAACAGGAAATTGGGTTTTCTCTTCAGTCGTCGGTTGCGACACATATGTAACAGGTAACTGGCTCATGTCTTCCGTAGATTGAACCGTGAAGGGCTTTTCAGACACTTTGTTACTGTCGGGAGATGGGGATTTCAGTAGAGCAGATTCCAGAGTTTCTCTGGTCCGTATCGCCACAGGTGTTTCAGACACAGCACTGTTGTTCAAACCTCGGTGTCCCCCGGATTTCTTACGGAAACTCCATCCACGTTTGTCAGGAGAGCTCTTGTTCTAGATCCAGACAAAAAAAAACACTCCATTCATATTGGTAACATAATCTACATATTAACTTAACCTTTCCAAAAACAAAAAACTGAAATCTAATGGACCAAAACGGATAAGATCTCGTAAACAGATATATAACCTAAACTCTATTAACTCAAAACGCGAAACTGACAGAAACTGTTTAATCTTGTCGGTTTGATCAAACAAAAAATCACAGAACAAAACAAGTGTTTTCGAACAATTCAGATAACGCGTGGACAAGACTTCAGCGATCAAAATGCTGTGTCCGGACAGTGAAAGATCTATGGAAATGCGTGTTGTAAGGCTTAGATGGCAAATCGAAGTAGAAACAACAAAGTAAAAAACATCGCATCACATCTCAGAATAGAAACTCTAACATCTTCTTAGCTCCGACATCGATACCACAAAATGCAGACATGAATCCACACACTTACGATCATCGCGAGAAGGAAAACGCAGACAGAGTCACAGAGACACAGATACAGATTGAGAGAGAGAAGCCAAGACCAATACCTCGTAGGAGTTGAGATCGCCGGCGTCTTTCGCGGTGGGCTCACCGGCGCCGCCGCCGCAAGTGATGATTCGGAAGCAAGAAGACGGAGATTTCCCCATTGTTTCTTCCTCCGCCTTCGAGGACTGTTCTTCTGCTTCGGTTAGTGTTTAAGTATTAATAAGACAAAAGAGAGAGAGAGAGTTTTGGTAGTCGTTGGAAACCGGAGCAAAAGAAGGAACAGCGGACTTCAAATGGACCACAAAATTACGGTTTAGAGTTTCCTTTGGAATCCGCCACTTATGTTTTCTCTGTCCGTTCGAAAACACGTCGTCTCTGTCAGATCTCTTCTTCGTGACACTTTATTTCCACCTTTATATTTCATTTTACTTTTTTAAAAAATCTAATATTTGGATAATTAGGCTTTATAACATTTTTCGTTCCTAAAATTATGTGATAGTTGTTTTTCTGGTTGGATTTAATTTTTCTTTTCCGCGTTTTTTTACCCTTAAATCGCGTTCTTTCAATGTTGATTTGAATAATGTGCGATTAAATAGTTTCTAGATAAAATAAATTTTGATTATTAATGTTGTTATATATTGTTACAGTAAATAATATTTTATTGTGAAGGAGGTTACTATTGTTTATATTTAAAGATCATTTTTTCCGTTTTATCATGGATTGTATTGCAGATCTCAGATTTATAAGAACACTTGAAGTCTTTCATTACATTATTGGTTGTTGTTTTTTCACTCATTATTAGTTTTGTTTCTTCTTTTTGCACATTACATTATTGAGTTTGTGTCAAGCAGATAATGTTTGTTCACCTAAAATAATAAGGCGGCATGTGCATGACATGTGCTTTTTATATTTTTTTATATTTATTTTTACTTTTTTTTTCAACTTTGTTTTCACTTTTTAACAAGTTTTGCACAAAGCATATGGATACATTTACGTTGTGATCTTTTTTTTTAAAAAAAAAAACAAATTGTATAGTAGAATATTTAAACCACCACCGATAAGAGAGCAAAGCGTGGAGACATGAGGATGAGAAGGAGAGATCATGGGAAATGAGAGTGTTAAAATGGAAAAATGAATATGTGATTGGACTAAAATAAGATTTGAGATATGATGGAGAATAATAATGAATACAATATCATTATGTCAAATATTATGTATATGATTTGTTTCCATTGTATCTATATTGTCTTTTTTATTCCGTTTTATAATTTTTCTGTAAATATATATTTATTTTCATTATAATGTAACCAAAAGAAGAAGAAATGTAGTAATAAAAATAATTGTTCTTTTTTATTTGTCTTTTTTTAATTTAATATCTGTAATTTTATATCTCTACAGAAAGAAGATGTAACGTTTCGAGACCGTTACAAAATATTGAAACTGTTTCTTTCGACCAATATACGAGATATTTTAACGTGTTTTATCATTATTCATTCATATTTCGGAAAATATGTCAAACATCTTGAAATTATTCCAAAACGAACACGCTTAATATTAGAATTTTCTCGAGATAAACAAACGAAAAAGTAGATATATCTTATTGGTATGAGTACACAGATCTTTGTAATCTCATACTTACACAGATCGGATCTCTTTCATTCTAATATGTTCGATTCATCCTCATACCTTTTTGGGTTAATGGTTTTAGGGGAACCGCTTCTTGTCAGTACTACTTGGATGCATTTATGATCATTTTCTACCATTATCATAGTTCGAGATATCACAAAGTCTATGGGAAGAGATGATTTGAGGGTAATGGATCGTTCGACGGTCTAGATTTTCCAAATGGCAGTAGATCGATCCGTGGTGAAGCGTAATCTATGATTAGAATCGCAGTCATAACCACGAGAGACATCTCAAAATAATAATAATAAGAAGAAGAATAAGAATAATATAATTTTTCTACTTGAACGAATTAATAAATAATACTTGTGAATATCTCGCGAACAAAGATGAATATAAAACTCATAAAATGTATAATCTTTTAGTCAACTATATCTTCCTAAGATCCAAATAAAAAAAAATCAGGTAAATTATCATCTTACAATGTCTCACGTATTCATGATAAAAATCGAACGTAGTATGAAACTACACCGCATATTCATTTATCTATGCAATCTTAAGATCTGGGTAATGGACCAAACTTGTAATATAATTATAATCGTTTAAAATTGATGGCATATTCTCTTCATCTAACGTAAAAAATAAATTTTGAAAGTGATAAAATACATTATTCTTTAAATTACTATAATAAAAATTTCTATTCAAATATATAACATGTACTTAAACTTCTAATATAAAAATTCCTATAGTTTCGAGAAAATAAATGCCGAAGTATATCGGTTAGGATAAAATTTAAAAGAAAAAAAAAAGAGAGGGAAAAAGAGTGACGTGGAAGAGAAACGAGGAGGTGTAGGGGATCTATCGTACCAAACTGAGAGAGCACAGTTCTGAGTTTGAGTCGAGTTAAATCAAGTGATGTCCCTATTTGACACGTGGCGAGAAACTAGTGCCGCCACGTGATCAGCCATTTGTTCTTCTCAGGCATTTCTAAAAAATAGATACGGGCCACTTTTTTTTTGAAATGGATAGAAACTATTCGAACGTTGTGATATAACATCTTTTAAAAAAAAAATAATAATAATAATTCCGAAGATATATCACCCGCAGATTTGTAAGAAATGTAAATCGACTTCCCTAATTATTGTGAAACTCATGTAAATATATGATTTAAAAAAATTAAACATAATCAGAATGAACTGAAAGTTATATTATATGGTTCAGATTGATATTATTCGGTTTCAATAGTGCATTGTTCGGAGGCAAAGAAAAATGAAGCTCTTTTCTTAACTTTAATTCCTTCAATTTTATTTAATAAATAAAGGAAATGTATATATTAAAAACATCATTCTCTAAATTTCCATTTAATAAATGAATGAAATCCATATATCACAAAAAAATTAAATTTCAAATCCATAAAACGACACTAAAATGTACTGATAGATGCAACAAGACATATTATAATATTAATAGAATGCTCTGATAATTAAGAGCAAAACTTGACTGTATAAATATTTATAATAAATCTGGATTTTTTTGTATTATTAATTTATAAATATATTGTGTGTATGATTTTTTTTTAAAGTACGCGTTAAATAATTTTATATATTTTTTAATATAAAGAGTTACAGTCTGGATAATCTCTTAAATTGTCACCTCATCAAGCCATCATAGAACCCTTGCATTGAATTTTCAGTAGAAATAGCCAAATATAAATTTATGAAAGACATTTAAACATGTTTATTATGTTTTTTCTTTACTACAAAAATAACTTATTATTATTTCGAAATTACACGTCAAAATATAATTTGTGTACAATTTAAATTGCGAATAAAAGAGAGAGATATGCTAATAACAATGCATGGCATATTACTATATATCAAGGTAAAAAAAAAAAGAGTTTTATAAATATATATAATGTGTATATATATATATATATATAAGAGTTAGATGGATAAAATTAGCACATCAAGGGATTGCGTGAAGATTAAACCAAACGTTTGAAAAGCGAAATCAAATCATTATAGAATTTAGTTAAAAACTTAATTACGAGATTATTGTATATAATAATAAGAAAAGCATCAATAATGGTTTAGATCTCAAGTCAATATTCCAATAATTGTTGCATTTACTTTTATATTTTGTAATTTGTCGTACTCGAAAAGCCCAACGACTCATAACCATGTGGCCTTTACAATTATTCTACAAACTAATTATGGATTAGTTAAGTTAATGACAATTACATAAACAATAAATCTACAAATTAATCATGGATTAGTCTAATAATAACTACCGGTGAGTAGTTGTTTGGAAATGTGAAGTTAATTTAACGGAACTGACTAATTGCAAGTCTAAAATTGAATCTTGTAATCTTTTATTATTATTTAATCCTTGAAATCTAAATTTAATTAGATATATATTTAAAAATCAAATTATATAAATGGAAACGAAATCTTAATCGAATTAAATACAAAAATAAAAATCAGATTAAATTGGAAACCTATTTTAAAACATATAATCCAAATTAAATCAAAATAGAAATAGAATTCAAACGAAACCAACACAATTTACATGCATAATTAATCTAAAATAAAAATATCCGTAGAAGCATATAACCACATTTATGTTGGATTTATAATTCGTCTTTATTGTGGCAGAAAATTCTCCGAACACAATTTTTATCTTTGAATTCCAAAAAGAAAACATAAAATCATTATAAATGCAATTGAGATAATTTTCTATTTTGAATAACTGTCGTACGTGTTAAATTGCAAAATAAATGTGGTTTTACTATTATAAAGTATTTTTTTAGTAAAATCTAAAATTTTCTTTGACTTAAAGAAACACATTTTTTCAAAGTTAGAAAATAGTGTAATAACTAAGGATATTTTAGAATTTAACTTTATTAATTTACATGTATGCATGAAAAACTATATAAAACGATATTTATTTAAAAAAAAGATAATGAGTATTTATCTAAAAAACTATTATATCAAATTGGAATGCTATGTTGTACCAAAAAAGGAAAGTCATGTTTAATCTCTAGTGGCATTTGCGACATCAATCCTAATTTTCGTGGTTGTTGGTTTAAGATTGACTAATTAGACTAAAATATAAAAATAATTAAGACATTTTATTAGTTTATTCAACTTAAAAAACACTTTAACTTTTTAATTTTGGAAAAAAAATATTTGCTTTTTTTAAATAAAAAACACTACTTTTTAAATTATCCAAAATAATACCTAAATTATTCTACGAGTGTAAAATTAAATAACTGAATTGGCGTGACATACAGAAGTTGTGACAACCCAGAGTACCGTAGGAGGGCGGGGAGTGATCACCGGTGCAGAGGCACGGACAAGGGGCGGCTCCTGACGAGCTTCTGGGTAGGGGATACAGGGATGAATCGAACACACCGGAATGGGAAAGATCCGAGGGCTGTATAGGTATGGGACTATACGGTCTAAGATAACATAAAAGAATTAGTTGAGCTACTCATAGCAACAAGGTACACCTACCTTTTTGGTTGACTATCCCGAGAGAATTCCAAAGTTAAGCGTGCTGGCTCTAGAGCAATCTCAGGATGGGTGACCTACTGAAAAATGTCTCGGTATGCGTGCGAGTGAGGACAAAACACGCTGAAAGGTCTCGGGTTGCTGTGTGAGGGCAGTTTCGACAATTCGTAGCGGTCTCGGGTCGTTACAGAAGTGATCATATTTTCACGTCATATCAGCACTTTCGTCCACCACGTCACCACTTTCGTATATCTCGTCAATTCGATTATTTATTTTGACATTTGTCGAATAATTTAGATATTATTTTAGATAATTAAAAAAAATTAGTGTTTTTTTCTCTATAAAAAATTGAGATTTTATTTTGTCAAAATTAAAACGTTAGAGTGTTTTTTTTTTGAAATTTTCTATAAATAATTTATAAAATACAATGCATATAGTATACAACGTGAGCTGAACTTTTCGTTTATCTGTATCCAAATGTCCGACCTTGAATATCTTTCTACAAAACATCTCTTAGATACAATATGTCCGAAGTTTATGTTAAAATATTGATGTAATTCATGATAACATTTATAATATTTATAGCATTTGAATCTTGATTTCCACTATAGGTCAACCTAGGGGTGGACACGGATCGGATATCCGTGATTTTTAAGATATCCGTATCCGTATCCGATCTGCACAAATACTCGATTTTATTATCCGTATCCGATCCGTAATTTACGAATATCCGAAATTTCGGATATCCGTAAATATCGCGGATATTTGCGAATATCCGTATCCGACATAAAAATTATAAAAATTAAATTCAAATTTAAAGAACAATTTTAAATATAAAAGAAAATATATAATTTATTTAATATAAATGTTATTCACAATTTAAAATTCATAATTTAAATAATTTAAATCAATTCAAATAAAAATATAATCATAATCTATTATATACAAATATATTAAAAGTTCAAAATTCAAAAATTAAACATAATAAATTTTACTATTCAAAAGATTAAATATTCTAAATCTCAATATATACAAAATATTTCTTGAATATACATATAAAATATATAAGTATAAAGCATTTTAAATTTTTATAGCGGATTATTTTTATATTTAATAATATTATTAACTAGTACGGATCGGATCGGATATGTCGGATAATTCGAATTTGATACCTGTATCCGATCCGTATCCGACAAATATTTCAAAATAAATATCCGTATCCGATCCGTAAACTCCGGATATCCGAATTTCCGATTCGGATACGGATTAGATAACGGATCGGTTCGTTTTTTCGGATATTATGCCCACCCCTAGGTCAACCACATTATAAACCCAATATCATTTCCCATCACTTCCGCACCAAAAATCAGTAAAAACATTGCCACCAATACAATAATATATAGAGAATGGTTAGATTTTTTCATATTCAATATAAATCATTACGGTATTTATATATTTATATGATTGATAGAAAATAAAATCAGAAAATATCTTATTTAATTAATATAAATATTTAGATAAAATCAAATATAATATTATGATAATATTTTAAAATATTTTTCATATATCTTAATAATCTTCTAGAATTTTCTTCATATCTTTTACTAATCTTCTCAAAAAATTTCCATCTCTTGATACATTCCTCAAAATCAATGAAATAAATGGTGCGTTAAAATAAATATTTAGATAAAATCAAATAGTTTTTCCCCAAGAAGATTAAAAGAAACCAATTTGAAAAGAATTCAAAGTACACTACTAAGAACTTAGGAGTTAGCGTTTCGGGAATCGATTCGGGTTTGGGATGAGAATATATCGGTTCGTTTTTTCGGTTATTCAAAAATAGATGTTGAAATAGAAACAAAATATGGAGATCTGATATGATTGATAATAATTAAAGGCATAATATCAATTAGGAATAAAATATATATCATGTCAATTATATTTTGCCTTATTTCTTTCTTTCGTATCTTTATTTCCTTGTTTCTTTCAATAATTTTTTCTATAAATGTATGGATTATTTTCATTGTAATCTAACAAAAAGAAGAAATGTAGCAATAAAGTAATTCGGTTTATTTTTATTTGTCTTATTCTGTTTCCACATTTTATTTTTCAATAATAGATACCAATCGTTTTTTATATTATATTCGGTTCAGTTCCATTTCGGTTCGGTTTCGATTTTGATTTAAAAAATAGATTTTCTTTAAGCATTTTGGTTTTTTAGGATTTTTTAAAATTCGGCTTGGTTCGATCCGGTTTTCTAAAAATAATACCGCGCAAGAATTTAGAACGGTTTGAATCGGAAAAAATACCGTATTTTCGATAGGATTCGATTTGATTTTGCCTAATGGAACCGAAACGTCCATTCTTTATCAGCTTTTGTTCGTCATTTCGAATTTGGATTCAAATCCAATCATAATAGGGGGGATTAAACTGATGTTGGGTCACGAGACAAAAGTCAACCCATGGAAGACGAGAGATGGAGAATGGGCTCAAGAATCTGGGCCTGAGGATTGGTTCAGCCCATGGGCTGATCCAGGGGTAGAGATCGACGTATAGAAACAAGGGAGACGGTGGTGCGATTGGAATCAAGGAAGATCAATCAAGATTTACCATATAGTCATGTCTTTCCATTTTGTATCAAATCGAATCCCACTTACCATTAGGAGCGGGCGTTTTGATAGACGATATTCAATTCGGGTTCGGTTTGATAATAGTTCGGTTTTATAAAAATATGTATCAATCGATTATTATATCATATTCGATTCAGTTCGATTCGTCGGAGAATTAAATGATGACGAAAGAAAGTTCCGCCGGAGATAGACGGTAATTCTGTACGTAGGGATAAACATTTCGGTATTTGACTTGGATTCGGTTTGGTTATTAAAAGGTTTTCAATTTTTTGGAAATTCGGTTCGGGAGGTTGGAGACCTCTTAAACGGTGTCGTTTAGTTAATTTAAAAATGATCCATGTTCTACCAGGGTTTAGCGATTTCAAATCCCACCCAAGAAGCACACCATGCGCGGAGAAACACAAATTGTCCACGTCATCAATCTACATACAGAACCAACCAATAGGATTCGGAGACAGAGATCGCCACGTGTGGCTTCAAACCCCACCATCTGTGTAATCCTTCTCCTATATATGGCGTTGTAATCGTCCGTATCGTGTTTACCGTTTCGGCGAATTAGTTTACAGGTAGGGTTTCTTCCATCGACGCGATCCTTCTGGGATTCGTTCTCCTTATACGATAGCTTAGTGGATTTATTATTCCTTCAATCGTCGGTGAACGATTTTGTCTCCCGTGTTCGCAGAATCTCCAAGTTCTTGCGCTATTCTTGCCTGAGAAGTTATGGCTCGTACGAAGCAAACTGCGCGTAAATCGACGGGAGGGAAGGCCCCGAGGAAACAGCTCGCGACCAAGGTTTGGTTTTGTCTTCTGTTGGTTTTGGATTTAGATTGGCGTTAGAAAACGGAATCTAGGATTTTCTTTTTAGGGTTGGTTTGGATGGCATAGGAGTGATGATTCTTATGATAATCGGAATGTAGGCTGCGAGGAAATCTGCTCCGACCACTGGAGGAGTCAAGAAGCCTCACCGTTACCGTCCCGGAACCGTCGCTCTTCGGTAATTCACGTTTGAGGTTTTGAATTCATCGTTTGTATACCGTTCTATTAGATGTGTAATTTAACGAATCCAATGATTCAGTGAAATTCGCAAGTACCAGAAGAGCACAGAGCTGTTGATACGCAAACTGCCGTTTCAGCGTCTTGTCCGTGAAATTGCCCAGGATTTCAAGGTAATTTATGAGCATTGATCGTTATTAAACCTGGTATACTATAATAGAGGTTGATACAAGGTTGTCAGAAATTCATACTATAGAAAGATTGAATGATCTTCATTTGACTCTATGCTGAGACATGGATAACGGTTGCCTTCACAGAAAAAAGGGTAGAAAAAAGATATCATCTTTTGTTTCGTAAGAGTGGGTTAGGTTTGTCCAAATTGCAATCTAAACCCCAGAAACCTAGTGTTTTATTGAATTGGGTTCTTACGCATTGTTCTATGGGATTATCAGGTTGACAATGGCTAATACTGATGCAATCCAAGAAACATAGTGTTATCCTTGGGAATTGGATTCTAATGGGGGGCATGTTTGGGAATTTTGCAGACAGATCTGAGGTTCCAGAGCCACGCAGTGTTGGCACTTCAGGAAGCGGCGGAAGCATATCTGGTGGGTCTGTTCGAAGACACCAACCTCTGCGCCATTCATGCGAAGAGGGTCACAATCATGCCCAAAGACATCCAACTGGCTCGGCGGATTCGTGGAGAGCGTGCTTGATTCACACCCACCGCCTATAGTTCTCTTTGTGTTGGTTTGATTGACGATGGATTAGCTTGATTTTAAAAAAGATCATCTTTTAGTTTGTATGATAATATCTCTAGCTCTTTCATCTCTCACTGGACATCTCGTCGTCTGTTCTCTAGCTAAGCTGTCTTCTGTTTTTGTTGGATATCTGATAACCTGATGCGGTGGTATATGATGTCATATGCTTTGTTGATGTACGATCATGATCTTTTCCCTCTCGGATATGATTTTGATCTTTATAACGTGTAATAACTTTGAAAAACGTGGTTTTCGGGTTTCATCGTATATTGTCCAAGCTTTGCCGGAAAACACAACAGGTCCAAATGAACACAAGTGTACACGTCATCAATGCAGATGTATACAGAATCAACCAATAGGATTCCAACACTACGATCATGAAATATATGATATGGGTGGTCTTAAACATAACTGTAAAATTTGAATGGTTGTTATTTTTTGGAAAAATCATTAAAAAAAAACAATTTTTTCGATTTTATTTTTTATCAATTAAATATTAAACTTTTAAAATGGATCTATTGAAGTTTTTAAGTGATCCAAAAAATATATGAATTTTTCTATAATTATAAAAAAAATATTGAACTTTTTTAGTAATAAAAAATACATAGCTTTCTTCGATTGCCAAAAAAAACTAAATAACATAATCTCACGTGTTTTATCTCTTTATGACATGTCAGTTATTTTATCTATTCTGACAATGGAGAAGAGTTAAGTGTTTGTTTTGTCAAAATTAAAAAATTTAATATTTATTTGATAAAATAAAATGTTTAGTATTTTTTTGTCAAATTTGAAAGTTAAGTATTTTTTAGGATTTTTTTTTCATTTTTTTAAATAAAAAAAATTTGAAATAGAACCGAAACACAATTCGTCGCAAACCTACCCCTAATTATCTTCTTTTACACATTTTAAAAAACGATTTTTTTTTTAAATATTTCCAACAAATTTCTTGTATATATAAATCACATCTACCAAAAATCGGTTCATGGTCCACACGATAAATTTCCACAACGAATCCCATATTCATGATAACGCTTAATTTTCACGAGAAAAAGAAAACACAGTGGATCAAATCAATGGCAACTGCACCCAGATTCCTTCACTCGGGATTTCTCCATTCACCAGGAACATCATATAATAACCAGGTGGTGCGATATTTGTCGTCCTCGGTGTCTTCATGACCACTTCGTATATCAAAGATTTGCCATTTCCCACTGTCTTCAATGGCGTGAAATCCATGATGTCCAGAAACAGAAGTCTCTGATTCATCGAGAAGGAATGCGTCGTGAACGACGGGAAAACCATAGTCACCCTCACCGTGGCATTGTTCACCACGTCGTTTGCAGCGAATCTTAGTTTCAACCGGGAGTTGTACTCGATCTTGGATTGCGAATCCGGAGATATTATCTTCGGGCGTGTACCCGAGAATCCAGGGTCTAGATATGATGGTGAGAAAGCTTGTAAGCTTAGCTCCGTCGGGAAAAGCACGCCGGTGAAGTTGTAGAATGGGTTCGGGTTACTACCTCCGACAAGAACTCTTCCATCACGGAGAAGAACAGCAGTGGAATGGTACATTCTTGGGGTAGTGTTAGGGTTTAGGGTTTCGAATCTCGACCCGATTGGGTTATCGGGTCGGTATAGAACTGGAGCAAAAACCGGGTCTTGACCGGCTTGATACGAGGCCGTTCCCTTTGCGCAACCGTTGATGATTAGAACGTTTCCGTTCGGAAGAAGAATCATGTCTCCCATGACTCTTGCATGAGGCATCGTCTCTAGTGTCCATTGTGGGTTCGGATCCGTAATCTTGATCCTGATACATGGTATCGAGATGATTTAAGAGTATTACTTAATATTTAGATTTGATCTTATTTCTATATTTTATATATTTATATTCATCAAACAAGATATCGTTATACCTTGCACATGTATTGAGTGCTTCGACGAAAGTGTTGTTCCTCCAAGCTAGTTGGTATGCTCCTTTCGGCGCACCGCCACACACCAGAACATCAGCCTCGACATTGGAAGCCTCAATATTCTTCAACGGTATGAGAACCGCAGAGCCACTGCTTGGATAGGATCTCGGGTCACCTCCCGGGATCATAGGGTATGTCTTGACCACAACATTTTTGCCATAATCGAGCAGGATTGCTCGGTTATTGGCAAAGACGAATAAGTTTCCGTCAACATTGAGAAAAATAAAAGGATATAGATTGTTTTCGCTCCCATTGTCATTTGTCTCAGATAAGAACGGTAAACTATACACTTTAGGATCTTTCGTTTTCGGAAAAAATTCGAAGTTGAATTGCTCTCTACCGCCGACGATTACTTGCCGACCATCGGGCAAAATATGATCGGATGCATACCATCTTCGTACAGCCAATCCGCTCTTTATCTCTGTCCAATCACAGCCGTCCATTTCGCACGCCGAGAACAATCTCACCATTCGATCTCCGTCCTCGTCCCCTCCCGTCTGAACCAACGTTCCATCCGGCCTGACCGAACCCGACGAGCAAAAAGGGTTCGACATAACGGTGAGTGGACGAACCCTATTCGCGACGACGTCATACTCGACCGAATGAGCCGTACAATCCATCTTCGAAACGCGGTCGTTTGGATTGTTGCGGCATTTTCCGTCCGGCAAGGAGATATTGGAAGGTCCCCAATTTGTGCGGTCAAACATGACGACACGGTCGTTGCGGAGGAGCTGTATGTGCATTGCCGAGATTCCGGCGTTGCCACGGAGGAGCTCCCACCGGCCATCACCGGCCACATATGCCACGTGGCATGTCAGCATTTGCTGAAGAGTATAAGAGATGAAAACCAGATAAAGACATTTGCGAGGTCGCGCCATATGGTTTTGTCTTATGTAACAAAACTTAGTCTTGTTAGATTTGTGCTGTGGGCATTGTTGTTAAGAGGAGTTTTGCTTATATAGAGACCATAGTATAAAGATATAACAAAGGCCATTATTTTATATGACATTTTTTTAAATATCATCAAATCCATGCGGAAAGATTATTACAAATATATTTGAGGTATACAAAAGGATATGTTACGTTATAATCTATAGTATTTAAATGGTGTGACAATATATCTAAATGGTATGACAGATTGGCGACAAAAATGAAATCGTAGCTGTCAACAGAAATGTTCAACATTTAAATATTTTCAATCTTATTAAATGCTATAATATGATACATCTTAAGGGGTATGTAAACGCATTTAATTATTAATTTATTTAGCTGTCAATGTTGACAAACGATCTTTGACTGGAAAATTTTGTTTAAGCATGTTATATATCAGATGGGATTATTTAATTAGCATCTGGAAGATTTTGTATGATTTCTATATACAAAATTGAAAAAAAAAATTAGGATGGATTTCAAAATCGGATGAGCTAATTTAAGGATATACTACTGTTATTGATGTATATGAAATACATTTTTTTTTGGAATTCGGGAAAAAAATTACAGCTAAACCAAACAAAGTATAATATTGAGGATTATGATAAAAATAATTCATCCAAAATAAAACAAGGAGGAAAAATATAATATGATGAGTTAAATTTTTTATATTTCAAAGAAATGTTTTAAAAGATGATCTCACGATCCCGAAATAAAAGATTTGGTTTCGTAATTAATAATGATTTCAAAAGAATGAAGGCATTTTGCGAATTTTGACTATGGTTTTGGAACATATTGTTGTAGTGTTGTGGATGTCACGATTGGTAAATTATATATACGTATGTATGTATACATATTGTATAGATATATATATATATATATATATATAAATGATTATATATATATATATATAAATGATTATATATTAAGACATCGTGGATGCCAACGGACTTGCAATGCACATTAAAACTTTGAAACAATTTTTATGATAGAGTTGATTAATAATAATAATACTTACCAAAAAAATAATAATAATAAAAGGATTTTACATATTTTAAGCGAAATGTGAATTGATATTAAATTAATGTAAGTTTCACCGTGCGAAAAAACAAGTTTCTACATGAAAATCCGTGCAATTCACGTATTATTCTTCTATATTGATTATTTTATTGTATCATATTTGTTAGATATAAACATATTAAAAAAAATGTTATAAATCATTGGATTGATATATGAAAATATACTTTTAAAATTATCAAAGAGAATATAAAATTTACGGATTCAATAATTGTCCTGCTTCCTTCTTTTTCTTACTCTCTTTTTTCTTTCTTTTTTTTAATCTGTATTTATTATTCTTATTTTTTATATTAATTCAATTAGAATTAATAAAATCCAAGGATGACGTGGTTTTACTACAAACCTTCAAACTTTTTTTTAAAAATTTATCTATATACACTTAAAATTTTGATCCATTTTCAATTTACATAATGATTTCATATCGGTGATCCACATTGAAAAACATTGCCAAAGAGGGAAAAACGTAATTAGGATGATAGAATCAAACAAAACAAAATACAACCCTATTCAAAAACATTTTTTTTATTAAATAGCAGTTATGTTTTTTTCTAAAATCTAATTAATCGAAGACAAATCAAACACAAAAAAAAAAAATACAAATAAACCAATTTTTTTGAGGAATCCGGTAAGTTAGTTAATAAACAATAAATCTAAATCAACGCATAATTAGAGCAGAATCCAACCGAAATCAAGACATAATTTTTTTAAAAATGGAAATCCGAAATCCATATATAAATATTAAACAAAATTAAATTGGAATTAGAAATATCAAGCCGTAAACATCATCACGGGTTACATCGACAAAAAGGTTCATGAACTTGGTTTCTGACGTGGAAATAATCTCGCATGTGAACTTTTTTCTATATGGATCTGCGTATTTGTTTTTGAAAATTGTTTTGTATCAGTGGATAAATAGTTAAAATTTACCATACACCCGTGAAAAGAGTGATTAGTTAAATAAAAATTTATCTCCGATAATAGTCGGTTCTAGATATAAGTATTAACTTGGTCTTCGATCTATTGAACCTCCTAATTATAAAATAAATAAATAAAATTTACGTGAGTGACCAATGGGCTTTTATTTGATAGAATTCCTAAGTGTATTACCATGAATAATAATAATACTGCAACAAAAAAGAAAGATGAAATTAGTTTGATTTTATTGAGAGTAAGTATATATAATTAATATTATTTTTATTTATCTTTAAAATCAAACTAATTTCATCTTTTTTTTTAATTGCAGTATTATTAGTATTCACGGCAACACGAGACATAAGATTAACTAATCAAAAATAAATTTAATGATATTGGAATCGCATAATTCGATATTTGTCGTGCTTTCTTTGAAATTAAGACACTTGGAATCGTACACACTATCACCTAACTAACTGAATCTCATACAACAAAATTTTAAATGCTTTAGTTTACAAAAAAAATCAAGATATACAATATGATAAATGGTTACGTTACCGCATGCATTAATTGGACATCGTTGTAGGTAGGGATGTTTATAGCGTGCAAGAAAATATTCGATTTCATTAGATTTTATTATTATTTTTTTCATAACAAATTCACCACGAAATATGTTCATCCCAATTAACCATTAAATAAAATGACTACAAAACATTCAAAAAAAATTCAAAATCAAATTGAAAAATAAGAAAAATAAATAAAGAAACAGAGATAACATAATGTAATAAGTATATTATCATAGTAAATGTACCCATATACCATCGCTAGGTATATCTTGATTCACCACGAACATCATGTAGTAACCGGACGGTGCAAGGTTGGCCGATCTCGGCGTTTTAACCTCAACTTCATACGTGGCCGATTCACCACTTCTTGTGAACATGACGTTATCCAAAATTAGAAGCCTCTGATTCATTGAGAAGGAATGCGTGTTGAAAGATGGGTAAACCATGGTAACTTTCACTGGATTAGTAACCGCTTCCGAAATGGTGAATACTAATTTCAACTGCGTGTTGTACTTGATCCTGGACTGTGATTTGGGAGATATTATCTTCGGGCGAAGATTCGAGGATTCGGAGTCGAGATACGATGGAGAGAAAGCTTCTAAGCTTAGTTCTGTCCGAAAAAGCACGTTGGTGAAGTTATAGTAAGTATGCGGGTTGCTTCCTCCGACAAGAACTCTTCCATCACGAAGAAGAATGGCGGTTGAATGGTACATTCTCGGGATAGAGTTAGGGTTTTGAGTTTCGAATCTCGACCCGAACGGATTGTCGGGTCGGTAGAGATCCGGAGAAAGAACCGGTTCACGACCAAGCTCCCACCCCGCGGTTCCCGAAGAACCTCCATTGATGAGCAGAACATTTCCATTGGGAAGAAGGATCATATCTCCCATAACTCTTGCTTGAGGCATCGTCTCCATTACCCATTTAGGGTTTTGATCTGTTATCTTGATTCTTGCACATGTGTCGAGTGCTTTTACGAATGTTCTCTCTTTCAGCGCTTGTTCGAATGCACCTCTTGGTGCACCTCCACAGACCAAAACCTCGGCCTCGACATTAGAAGCTTCTAGATTCTTCAACGGTAGGAGAACTGCCGAGCCAGTGCTCGGGTAAGATCTCGGGTCACCTCCCGGGACCGTCGGGTATGTCCTGATCACAATGTTCTTGGAATAATCGAGCAATATCGCTCGGTTATTCGCGAAGACGAACAAATTTCCATCTACGTTGAGGAAAACATTAGGGTATAGATTGTTCTCACTTCCTCGGTCATTTGTCTGAACCAAGAACGGTAAGCTATAGACATTTGGAGCTTCGGCCGTTTTTGGGTAATACTCGAAGTTCCACTGCCTCCGACCGCCGATGATTATCTGTCTGCCATCTGGCAAAATGTGATTGGTTGCGTACCATCTCCTTACGGCCAATCCGTCATCGATCTCCGACCAATCACAGCCGTTGGAACCGCACGGAGAGAACAATCTGACCCGTCGTTCTCCGTCTTTGTCCCCTCCTGTCTGAACCAACGTCCCGTTCGGTATAACGGAGCCGGAAGAGCACCAAGTATCGGACTGAACGGTGAGTGTACGGAACCGGTTGGAGGTGACGTCATACTCGACGGAATGGGCGGTGCAGTCAACCTTCGAAACGGGGTCGTCTGGTGAATCGATGCATTTTCCGGCAGGCAACGAAATGTTGGAGGGACCAAAGTCCGTACGGTCGAAGATCACGACACGATCGTTGCGGAGGAGCTGCATGTGCATGGCGGAGATCCCGATGCTGCTTTGGAGGAGCTGCCACCGTCCACCTCCGGCGGCGGATGCCACGTGGCAAGCGAGGAGAGAGAACGTTAAGAAAAAGGAGGAGGAGGAGAGAAGAGAAAATGTGGGTTTGGCCATGTTGCTTTATCTTGGATCCGTGACTTAGACTAAGTTGTTTCCCTTGGAAGTCACGGGCTGTTTTCGAGCTTTGTGTGGTGCAGAGATGTTTGGATGGTTCTGTTTTTATAGACAAAACAGGCTAAGGTTTTTTTTTTTTAAAGTTAACATTATCATTATAGTTATATCATTTTTAATTCAAGATGCATACGGAATTGTCATGTTTCTATAATATATGAAATGGCAAGTTATTGCTTATTTAAGTATATTAAAAACTCCTACGTTATTCAACATCGAGGTCGTTTTCCCTTTAGAGATCTTTGGTATAAAACCGTGAGTTTTCTACAATGAACAAACAAATTAAAAAAAGAAACCTTTTTACTGTAATTAAGGCTTATCGTAAAAAAAAAAACAGGCGAAAAGAATGATGGAATTCTGAAAAAATTAAATCATACAAAGTTTCTAACTAATAAAATAAAACAAACAAAAAAAATTAATATTATTACTTTTTAAGTAAGTTTTAGTAATCCAAAGTTGGATAGTTCAAATGGTTTGTCTCGTTCCGAATTCAAATATAAAGTTTGGAGAACGTATATTCCAAATCACATAACTAATCTCTGACCACGAGATTAATCTGAACGTTGGTCCATACTACTCGGGTATATAAAAAAAGTTACAGTAACAATAGATTTTACGAACGAAATTATTTTGTATCAAAAGAATGACGTAATTTTATATCATTATTTTTATCAAAATTTCGAAATGGACAAACCTTATGTGCGGTTAGGGTTATCAATTAAATGGATTAAAGTCAAGAGATATGTAAACAAACGGTAATTGGAATAATTTTGGTCGGTTCCGATTATACCAACCTTTGTACCAAAGTTTCTCCTTTGACGCCATTCCCTTCATGACAACAATAACTACAAAACACCGCTTTTAACATTCCAAATCGATACAAGCTCCCATGCCTTAACCATAGTAGATGCTGAACCGCTGATCTTGTTGAAAAATGTTATAAATAATTTAACTAAATTGATGTTAAAAATATGAAAAACACTGAGAAAGAACAAAGAATATATATATTTTCTCTGAACCAATGAAAATAAGCCACGTGGATTTTTGAATAAAAGTATTTGGATAAACGCTGATTCACGTTATGAAAAACACTGAGAAAGAACAAAGAATATATATATTTTCTCTGAACCAATGAAAATAAGCCACGTGGATTTTTGAATAAAAGTATTTGGATAAACGCTGATTCACGTCCAACAGTCAATGTTTCTGTGTAACTAATTCGAAGTCACCAGTGTTGGTTTATGAATATAAATTTGCCGTTTCTTCGTCTACCCTTAATTTAATCGTGTTTACGTTAAAGAAGCCTTTTCTATTGTTGCGTATATATATATATATATATGTATATATGTATATTTGCTTCTAGTATGGGGATACACATTATCCGTGATATATAATGTATATTTGTTTTGGGTGATATATAATATATTTGATAAAAATGAATGATGTAATAGATTTTATCAACATCAACCAACAAAAAAGAAGTTTATACGCAAGTTATACTTCTTTTCTAGAATGTATTTCTCTTAATCTGCTAATAATATTTAGGGATAATTCCATTTAAAACCCTATACTTTTCTCTCGTCTCAATTTAAACCCTATACTTTTTTTTTATCCAAAAAAACATTGTACTTTTAAAAATTGGTAATTAAAACTCTATACTTTTAAAATTGGTAAATAAAACCCTGAACGAAAAACAATATTATTTAATGCTGACATGACATCTTAGTCATCTGCCACATCATCAATCCCTAATATTTAATAATATTAATTAATAAAAAATAAAAATAAAATAATAAAAATAAAAATATAAAAATAAAAATAAAATTTTAAAAATTATATATATTCATAAAAATTATACACATATATAAACATGTTTATAAAAATTTTAAAATTATATACATATATAAATATATTTATATATACATATATACATATATATACATATGATACATATATATCTATATATGTGTATAATTATTATATGTTTTATATGTATGTGTTATATATGTATTTTTCCCTAAAAAACATTATATATATATTTATGTATGATTTTTAGGAAAAAAATCATATAACACACATACATAAAACATATTTATATATA